TTTCTGGTGGATCCACCTTAAGGGGTAAAACCCATAGCGTATAAATGGGTCTTCAAGAAAAAGACTGACATGGATGGCAAAGTGCATTCCTATGAGGCACGACTGGTTGCCAAAGGTTTCAAACAAATTCATGGTATTAACTATGAAGAAACCTTTTCGCTGGTTGCCATGATTAAGTCTATCCAGATTATGCTTGCAATGGTTGCATATCAAAATTGTGAAATTTGGCAAATGGATGTCAAAATGGCTTTCCTAAACAGAAACCTTGAAGAGGATGTGTATAAGACACAACTCGATGGTTTCATTCTTGACAGATAAGCTGATAAGGTAAGCAAGTTGTAGAGGTCCATTTATGGACTCAAGCAAGCTTCAAGGAGCTAGAACATTCATTTTGATGAAGCTGTAAAAGAATTTGGTTTTGTCAAGAATGAAGATGAGCCTAGTGTTTACAAGAAAGTAAGTGGGAGCGCGGTAGCATTCTTGTTGTTGTATATCGACGACATACTTCTTATCGGAAATGATATACTGAACTTGCAGTCGGTAAAGACTTGGTTATTCAAGTGCTTCTCCATGAAGGACTTAGGAAAAACAACTTACATCCTTGGAATAAAGATCTATAGTGATAGATCGCGTAGGTTGTTTGGCCTAAGTCAGAGCACATATATATGCAAGGTATTGAAGAGATTCAGTATGGAAGAATCCAAGAAGGGATTTCTTCCGATGCCACATGGTATCCATCTCTCCAAGGATACATGTCCTAAAACACACGATGAGAGAGATAAAATGAAGAGGATCTCATATGTGTCAACAATTGGATCCATCATGTACGCCATGTTGTATACTCGAATTGATGTCTCATGTGCGTTAAGTACTTGCAGAAGATATTAATCGGATCCTAGTGAGCGATGTGATGTTGTGTACTCAGATTGATGTCTTATGTGCATTAAGCACTTGTAGAAGATATCAATCAGACCCTAGTGAGCGACACTGAATGGGTGTCAAGAACATCCTTAAGTACTTGAAAAATGACTAAGGATATGTTTTTGGTCTATGGAGGGGAAGATGAGCTCATTGTAAAAGGATATAGTTATGCTATTTTCCAAATGGATAAAGGTGATTTTCGTTTGCAATTCAGGTTTATATTTTGTCTCAATAGAGCTGTAGTGAGCTAGAAGAGCTCAAAGCAAAGTACTGCAACAGATTCTACAACTGATGTTAAGTATATTGCATTACCTAATGCAATCGTGTAGACAGTTTGGATAAAGAAGTTCATTATTGAACTTAACGTGGTTCCAAGCATTGCTGATCCAGTAAAGTTCTACTGCGACAACAATGGAGCCATTGTTGTGGCTAAGGAACTACGGTCTCACTAGTGATCCAAACACTTACTTGGTTGATTCAATCTGATCTAAGAAATCGATTAGAAAAGGGGATGTGCGAATTTGCAGAATACCTACTAACCCACAGTTAAAGTTTCCGTTGCAACAGAAGCTTGATGGGCACTTAGGGTCATTTGGTGTTGAGTACATGAATGATTGGCTATAGTGTAAGTGGGAGATTGTTAGAGTAGGTGCCTTAGAACCAATCAATTATTGTAGAATTGACTCTCTGAAATAATGTTTATTAATCAATAAAAGGTAATTTTCTTCTATATCATGTAAATCATAATCGTGTGTATTGATATATGTCCTTAGGATGGTAGACCCGTGACAAGGATATCAAGTGTTTCAAATCTTGATAGTGAGAACCCTATGATCACATATGGTGGTCATTCTAGAAATGTCTGTAGCCTCAGTATTATTCTGACCAGGGACGCAAATAATACGGTAAGGCTATCATAGTGTTGAACAACATTGTCAAAAGACAATGATTGATCTCACTTGTCAAGGTTGTTTGCCGACAACCTTGTGCAACACATGGGTGCTTGCTGTAGGCAAGTTTACTGGACAGACCCACTAGAGGATTCCATATAGATGGTAACCCTAGTGTATGGAATAAATCCTCTAAAGAATGGTGGTGCATGTGATCCTTAGACTTGAGATCACCGAAGCGCCTTGTACACCGATTGGTGTAGTTTAACACAAGCCTAACGTAGTTCTATTCAGAGCTATCAATACGATAGTGATTGGCTGTATTGAGAAGTGTATCAAGACTATGGTGGATCAACAAATGATTCATCACTCCTAGGTACAAGAGAAGTTATCTCACAGTGCAATTCAGTGAATGACAATGACACTAAAGTTGTGGCCACAGTGGGATTGAGTTGTTGCTTAATCCAATTTATTATTCCGGTAATTGGTCCAGTAACTGAATACAAAGATATCAAAGATAATTGAGGTTGACACTATTTATGTACCTCGGTCTCGATGAGATAACAAATGATAAAAGGATCGGTTTGCACAGTAACCATATCATTGATAGGCATGTTGTTTCGTTGAAGTCGAATCTATCGGATGGCCATGATGTCTTGCTAGAGGTCAATCTTGGTTTGTGTTTAGTGAGATGATTGATTGGTGTCAATTGCGAGACTACTCACTGCTGATATGATGAGGAGTCTTCGAGTCACACACATAGAAGACAGATTAAGGATGAATTGGTGAGAAAGGGTATTTTCGTCATTTGTGATGAAAGGGTATTTTCGTCATTTATGATGGAAAGGATATTTTTCGTCTTTTGAGATGAAAGGGCATTTTGGTAATCTCACAGTGTAATTAAATTTGCTGAGGTCGTTGCCTATATTTAATTTCATATTGAAATTAAAATTAGTGAGATTATGTATTTAAATATATTCATATATTTAAATATTATATATATATTATTTAATATTAATATTTGATGATATTAATATTAGTGAAGATAATATATATGAAATATGAAATTCATATTTGAATTTAAATATATATATATATATATATTCAATATTAATATTTGATGACATTAATAAAGATAATATAAGAATATGAAAATCATATTTGAATTTGAATAAGATGCCATGTGGATTATTACCTTGTTTGGTAATCAGGATTTACTATTCTAGTCATGGAATAAATTTATTCCTAACTAGATGAGGGTTTTAATTTTTGTTGCATATAAAAGGCAACTTAAAATTAAAATAAAATGCGAGAACACATTAATTAAATTCAAGCCGCTCACCTCACTCTCTCTCACGTTTTTCACTTGGTGGAGAAGAGAATTTTTCTTGAAGAAAAATTATGCATCTTTTTTGCTTGTGTCTTGCTAGCACTTGAGACCGCAAGTCGATCGCCATCCTGTCTTCATGTGGATACCGAGAGTTCACTCTTATCTTAGAGTGGGAGCGATTTGTATCGATTAAAGGAGCCTCCAAACGTTGGTATGAAATCTGGAAATTTTATATTCAATATCATTTCATATGTAAATAACGTAAATCAGGTATAAGGTTCTTGGGTTCAATGTTGTTGTTGGGGATTTTATTTTTGTTTTCCGCTGCGTAAACCCCATTAGCGACTAACAGTCAAGTATTCTCTGCACCTGATCTAGTTGATCGTTCACCCGAGGATTCCTCATTGGGCCCAAGTTGGACCTCTGTGCATTGAGATGGGTCCTAAGATCAATTCTCCGTGAATTCAAGTGAGTGCAAGCCTTTTGGCCATTCTTTTCAAGCACGCTAGCGTGCGAGGATGAGCTATAATTGCTTGGATAATGAGTATTATCTGAGGTTTCTTGATGTGGGTGCGAACCGCCACGTCGATTTTGGACATTTAATTGACGCGAAGTATGCCCTTGGCATGAGTTCACACCAGCACGTTGGGCGCCTGCCCCCTGCTGGATTATTGGTTGAACGAGCACGCAACTTCTTGGCGCTTTTTTCTCTCATCCATTGGTTGTTTCCTTGGGCGCCTGCCCTTGCTGGATTACCTGTGGAACAACTGGTGGGCGAGTCTGCATGGCCTTCTGATAACCTCCTCGTGGCCAGGTTCATTCTCATCTATCTGATTAGCTTCGATTGCACTTTTGGATGCTCTAGTACATGGTATGGTTGTTATGCTTGATTAACGAATAAGATTGACAAGGGAAGACCCTTGTTCTAATGCCAAAATGTTGTTACAAAATCTTACAACAACTAAAGATAACCGATTAATCTTGACGGAATCGGATAAGATAATCGTGTGATTATGAATAATCAGCAAGAGAAATTGAAGTGAGGATAGACAATAAAGACAAAGAACAGTTTTAAAGTGGTTCGGTGAGCTAAACCTCAAGCCTACGTCCATTATTTTCTTATTAATGTGTTTGATTACAAGAATAAGCTCTCTTTCTCTTTCTCTCTAAAATTGCTAACCCTTTTAAAATGATTTTGAGGGGGTTTATATATTGTTGAATTGAAAACGGTTACAAGAGGGATTCTTGGGATAATGGTTTGACTTTGGGAAGTTAATCCCATGATCCTTGCTGTAGTTATCATTCTGAGATTGTAAGGAGTCAATCTCGTGATCTTTTCCTTAATTTTAGGGGATAACACCTGTCTAAGGAGATAAAACTCATTCAAGGTTTGAAGGATAACTGTCAGGTAGCTCGCTATACTTCTGAACGTAGCTCGCCTCCATTTGATCATCGTCTCACAAATTACTCCGAGATATAGCTCACTCTTAGCTATTGTTTGCTCCGAGTTGTTCGCACATTCTCGTACAACAATAATATTTCAAAGACTCAAAGTTATCCTATTTTAAATGATATTAACAAAATGAATTTAATAAGGAATACATTAATTTATTTATAACATATGAATGCCAAAGAGTTACCTAATTAATAATTTATAATATATATATTTTTTTTAAATAAAAATGAATCTAGTTTTCTTCAGCAAAGATGATCAAAGTTAAATGATAAAGACGAAAAGAATCAAATGAAAGTTACAAATTATATCACCAAACTTAGTGGTATTTTTTTCTTTTTTGTTTTAGTAAATTATTAAGCTCGAAGATGGTAGGATATGATTAAGATAAAAGGAAATGTAACGTATTTGTGTAGTTCCATTGGAATTACCAAAACAAAAAAACTCTGAAGCCTGAGGCTCAGGAGTTAGAATTTTGTTGACCAACGTTAAAAAATATATATATATTACAAGGTAACATATCTATTCCCCATTGGTAACATATCTATTCCCCATTTAACAATATATATTTTAAACCTATATTTCTAAACAAAATAATAAAGTGTTGAGCCGATGGCCACAATTTACAAAATAAAATATCATTCCAACTTGTATGACAAATCCATCACGGACTCACCATTTTGGCCCTTCCGCGGACTAAAACCTTCAACCCTCCAGCCATATGAGCCGTTAAAAGAGGAACAAAAACCGGCCGCTTCTCGCAAACCGGTTCAATCTCAAACTTCCTCAGTATCGTACCCACCACATACTTCATCTGAATAAAAGCCATTTCCTTCCCGAGACACACCCTTGGACCGGCCTGAAAAACCGGATACTTATATGGGCTAACGGATTTCAACACAATGTTTTCTGAACCCGGTTCGTTAAACCATCGGTCAGGTTTGAACTCCAAGCAGTCCTTCCCCCACAACTCCTCCATTCTTCCCATCCCGTAAGGAATGTAAGTGACTCTATCTCCCTTACGCACTCGCGTGCCGTCGGGCAAAACATCGTCAGCGGCGGCGTGTTTGGAGTCCCATGCAACCGGAGGATAAAGCCGCATGGACTCGCATAAGCATGCTTTCAAAATAACCATCTCTTTTAAAGCTTCAAAATCTAATGGCCTTTCTCCATTGTTGGTGATTAATTCTACTTCATCTATAATCATCTTTTCAAGGGCTTTATTTTCAGAAAGCAACCAGAAAAGCCACGTCATTGTGGCGGATGTGGTGTCTCTTCCTGCCATTATGAAGCTGATCACCATGTCTCTTGTGACTTCCTCGCTTTGTCCAGCTGACAGCATTCTCGACAAAAGGTCTTCATCGCAATTTCTTTCCGATTCGTTTTCAAGAACATTCTTCTTTTTTTGAATGATTTCCAAAACGGAGTCGTGAACGAGGTTGACAGCTTCTTTGAGTTTCTTCTCGGAGCCTACATTAAAGACTCGCTTTAATTTCCAAATCAAATAAACGGGGGCAGTTCCTCTCATGGCACAAATCTCTGACGCTGTATCGAAAGCTTCAAAAAGGGGCGGCAATGATTTTGAAAGATCCAAACAAAACGGATCAGTACCCAAAGAAACCTTACCCACAATGTCAAATGCAAACCTCTTTAATATATCTTGTAAGTCCAAAACTTTTTCATTCTCCATTGCATCTTCAAGCACGGGTATCAGTCGATTTTCCACTTCTCCTTGAAGTGTTTTAACGATGAATTCCCTCAACGACTTGGTGCTGAACTCATGGCTAGCTAACTTGCGCTGCGCGCTCCATAACTCACCATCAACGTTGAATATACCGCAACCGAGAAGGTCACCAAGAATTTCAGTGAAGGGTTTACCTTTCGGGAAGTTGTTGAAGTTAGTCTTGAGTATGTGCTCAACGTTGGCCGGGTTTGCTGTGACAAAAGTGCGACGTGCACCGAGCCGGTGGACCAAGATGGTCTGGCTAGGTGAACTCGATAAAAGATTAGTGTACCAGTCTAGAAGTCGGTGGCGATTTTTATAGAAAGAGATTAAGCAGCCAATAAAAGGGTGAGAAGGAGGGGCATAAGTAGATGATGATGGTTTATTAAAGAGACAAGAGAATAACAATTCTTGGTGTATTAATGGGGAGAAGAAAGAGAGAATGAAAAATCCCAAAGAAAAAAACAAAATAAGATAGACAACCATGGCTACTTGAAGCAAGTGGTGGTGTTGCAGTGGGTTTGGAGTATTGATTGTTGGTTTAAAGAGAGCACGTAAAAGAAAGAGATGGATGAGGGATTTATATATATAGAAATTTATGAGAGAAACGGACCATCGTGAACGCGTTTTTGTGAGACGAAGAGACAAAAGACACGTGTTAAATTTGAAACTTAAAAAGGGGAAAACAACTTTGAAGAATTTCGTTGAGCAATACTAAACTTACAATCTAATTTTATAAATTTTTTCTTATAATCTCGATGTGACAGTTCTAATTAGTCAGTTTACAATAGGCCCCACTTGTACAATAATAGGTCATGCTTGTCTAATTGTAAATTAATCAATTGTCAACTATTACGTTAGGGTTGTGAAAGAAAGTTTGTAAGATTGGACTATGAGTTAATCTTTATTTAATTTTATCTGACTAGTTGGGAATTTAGTTATCGATATAGATCAATTAAAGCCACGGGATTTTAGCTTAATTAAGCATGTGAAGTAAAATAAATTAAGCATGTGATTTAAGTTGATTCTTATCTATAAATTAAGAGTCCTATTGAATGCTTAGGCCTCATGAGTAGTGATGAACATTAGGGTTTTTTATATTTATAAAATCTAAATCCATAAAAAATTAAATCAAAAATTATATTGATTTATGATGAAGCTAATTTGTTTAAGCTTATATAATTACAATTACAATTACAATTAAACCTCTCTATAGTGATACTCTATAAAGGAATAACCTCTATATAGTCATAAAAAATTCTAATCTCAAATTGGGATAGTAATAAATAAGAATAAATTCTAGATTTTAATAAGTTATAATTTTTATAATTCTTATCTTAAGAAAGTTGTCTCCATGTAGTAATAATTATTTGTATATTGCAAAAAAATATATGTTATGTTACATTAAAGGTTGTTGAGGCTAATGATTTATCTAAAGTTGTTTGAGACAATGATTTAAGAGTTGTTACCATATTTTTTAATTTGCGGGTACGTAATCATTCGCTAGCATGAACATCTTCTTATTGAAGTTAAAATATTTCTAGCTTCTCAAGCATGTTTAGAGTTTCTTGACATAAAATTTTTGTATTTCTATACTATCATCCTCAATATTATTTTATTTCTCTTCTTGTCTAATTGCAGCAATGAATTAAAATCCTAATCTATAATACTAAAATGTGAATTATAAAATAAGAAATCAAAACAGTAATTTTTGTAACTATACCTCTATTAAGTTATAATTTTCTTATAGTAATAAATTAGCTTGATTCCACCATTATAACTATAAAAAGATTTTATTGTATTTTTTATATTTGTTATCAAACTTATTATACATCATTAATCATTTAAATATGCCACTTCTTGTCTAAGGAGACATGCTATGAAGGAAGAGAGAGGAAATAAAAGAAGTAAATCTAAGGATTTTAAGGAAACTAATTAATCACTTTAATTAGGAAATAATCTCAAGGTTGCCTATTCCTTCTTAGATTTCTTGTCTTATTAAACTCTCACTTCGTTGAATAAAAACAGGTGTTTTTTATGTTGAAAAAATTGATGTTAAGTTAAACTAACGATTAATTTACGTCATCCATGTTATTGTACCAAACAAAAGTATCATAAAGTTAGGCAAGTTTTTGATAATGGAAGAAGCTTACGCACCCACTGATTCAAAATTGATGCTACTTTTCTACATTCAATAATTTACGATAATAACTCTGAATAATTTTTACTATAATATCCATATTTGTGCATTAAATTCTTTGTTATGAGTGATAATACAAAATATGATGACTAATTTTTAGTCCTTGTTAAAAGAGATTCAAAATTAAACCGTGAATCTCATCCGTCCCTACAGATTGTTGAGTTTCAAATACAAAAACCACGTTGCAAGATGTGTGAAACTTAAAAATCTCTTTGGTAATGTATAAGATCAACCCAAAACTTAACCAATAAATTGGAGATGCTTAATGTACATCTTTGTGTCATAAAAAAAATGAATGAACACATTTTATATTATAAGGTAGTGGGGCTATTACAAAAACCCTTTACACTGTAAAAGCTGGCCTTTACAATAGTGGGAATTTTGTATATGTTTTGGCTTCAAAACGATCATGCTTAAAATTTACATAAAATAAACAAATTTAATTATTCGATTAGGAATATTTAACTATTTAAGATATTTAAAACAACAGTAGCTAACGTACCTTTCAGTTGAATGAATGAGGAGTGAGGAACGGCACAAGCAAGAATCGCCGAAATTTTTATTATTTAAAAAAAACACGTGAAAGATGTAAAGCACGTGTGTTTATTGAAAAAGTTTTATATTTGGAGGGATGTGTGAGCATATAAGAGATTCTTGAGTTTATCTTTTTCTTTTGGATCCCAAATAAGCACGAGCTTAATTTTATGTAAGGCAGAAAAGAAACATAGGCCCACTCCTGCTCCCACCAATTAGATAAACATAGTTTGCACGCTTAATTTAGTTAGGTTTGGTTCTTCTTGTTTTTTGTTAGATTTATAATTGCGTCTCTGCGGCCTATCATTATATTATTATATAAGGAAACGAAATGAAGAAGAAGACGAAAGTTAAATGTCTGTACCAAATATCACGTGCATCTTTTATTGCATATGAGATTCATTAATAAATTAACTTGACAAATTTTTTTTATTATATTTAAACTTTTAAAATATATTGTTTTGAATTTTTTTAACTTATATAATTAGAGATATATTATAATTGTTTTTTTTTTTTTTTTTTTTTTTTTTTTTGGGGAAAGTGACTCATAATTGCAGTATATACGAGTATTTAAATCATTTTAGAAAACCAAGCTAAAGTTAATGGTATTTTAACCTTAAGTGTTCTTTAATTGAAAACTAAAAAAAAAAAAAAGTGTCCTTTAATAGTCACTAGTCAGTTTCTTAAAATGGTATCCTTTAATTTAATTTTTTTTTTAAAAAAAAAGTGTCCTTTAATAGTCAGTTTCTTAAAATGGTATCCTTTAATTTTTAAAATGGTCCCTATCTCTAGCTTACTGATAGAAACGGAAGCATCCATTGCCGACTTAAAATCTTACGGCGCCTATCATTTTTTTTCAATTCTATTTATATTCTTCTTCCTTCTCACTCATTTTACATTTTAATTTTAATTTCATTATGCGATTTTCTGTTTTTAAGGATGACTGGACAGTGGACAAGATGAAATGAACAAATTTGGTTTTGAGTTTGACTCACTCATGGCTGTGCCGTTTATCTGATTTCTGCCATGGAATCTGTAAATTTTATTATTGTGCATGAAAAACAGAAAAGAAAGGACAAGCAGAATTTTAAATGTGATAAGAGAGTTGTATTTATAGCACGTGCAGTGGCCTACCATTGGCATCAGTTTCAGCTCAGTTGCAGGGGTCCACTGAACTTACTGAGGGGCAGAAACTTGAGAATAATTAATCTACTGGGGACGACAGTTCTGGATTGCGTGTCACTGCTCACTAGCTCTCGTCTTGATGCAAAAAATCTTCAAATTTAATCATTATATACATTTTTTTTTTTAAATTAACTCCTCTTCACATCCCCTAACATTTGGTAACATAGAATCGACATTTTTCATTGTTAAAAGATTATAGAAGGAAAAATATAAGTAACTTTTCATGTTTAAGGGCACTTTTGCAGCTGCAGTTGAGATGGACTTGTTGTATCACTTGCAATTTGAAGGTTAGCCTACAATCAATTCTGGCCACAACTTTCCTGATTCTGCTTAAAAGAGAAAAAAAGTCGACGCAATCTATGAATTACGGAGCAGAACTTGGAGTGGAGTGGAGAGGAGAGATACAATTCCATGACAAACTCTTCGAGTCCTCATTATTCTTCACCCTTTATAAAATACTTCATTGGCGTTGTGCATAGATTTTGATTCTCTGTTATGTGACAAGCAATTTTGGTGATGGTAAGATTTGGTCAAGTTAGGCATGAATCAAACTTTTAAGTGTGAGGTTCGAGCTCTGTTAACTATACCCTGAATTAAACGGACATCCGGGAACGAAACAATCAACGCGCCCATCCCTTTTCACTGTAGCCATCCAGTAACATACTCTATCATGGAGACATCCTAAAAGTAGCACACCATGTTCAAGGTTCAAATGTAAAGGCCTAATAATGCTGCTATTCAAATGAAGTTTCCTCTTTGGAAAATAACAGTCACTGTGCAATCATCTTCTTGATCTTTACTAAGTTAAAACTTATATGTGATGTATTTATAACAACATGGAGAAGAAAAAAGAGAGAATGATAGATATACATTACTACGTTGGAAAGTGACTCATAATTGCAGTATACACGAGTATTTAAATCATTTTAGAAAACCAAGCTAAAGTTAATGGTATTTTAACCTTAAGTGTTCTTTAATTGAGAACTAAAAAAAAAAGTGTCCTTTAATAGTCAGTTCTTAAAATGGTATCCTTTAATTTATTTTTTTTATTTTTTTAAGTGTTCTTTAATAGTCAACTTTCTTAAAATGGTATCCCTTAATTTTTAAATGGTCCCCATCTCTACCTTACTGATAGAAACGGAAGCATCCATTGCCGACTCAAAATCGTACGGCGCCTATCATTTTTTTTTCAATTCTATTTATATTCTTCTTCCTTCTCACTCATTTTACATTTTAATTTAAATTTCATTATGCGATTTTCTGTTTTTAAGGATGACTGGACAGTGGACAAGATGAATGAACAAATTTGGTTTTGAGTTTGACTCACTCATGGCTGTGCCCAATGGCGGATTTTATTAATGATGAGTGGGGACCATGGCCTGCACTCAAACTTTAAAAAATTTTAGATTTTATATATATTTATATTTATTTACATTTTGCCGCCTATAGAACTTTGACATTTTGGGAAAAGAACAGATTTTAATTTTGATTTTTCAACTCTAACCCGTTACCAGAACAACAACGCACGCCAAGAACCTCTCTTCCCTCTTTCTCTCATGGTGTAGGTGCTCTAAAGACTAAACTCTCAAGTCTCTCTCACCGAACTCTCCTTCCAAGTCTCAACCAACACTACTTTTCATCAATTTATCAAAAGGTAATGTCCCTAATCTTGAATCTCTAATTTTCTCTATTCAATCAATGTTTTACAGTTTTAAAACTTTTGTTATTGCATTCTTTCAATAAAATTGAGTATTATATATTTAGAATTTGACATTTGAAGTATAACTAAACCTGAATCCTGCTCCTAATGGCCAACCAGAGTCGTTGAAGGGCCCTTACCATTTAGCCAATGCGGCAATGCCTAGACGTCCCCACACCTACTCGTGAATTTTGAGAGACAAGGGTGTTCCTGTAAACCTATTGGCAACCCACATTAGCTAACACCAGCCATTAGAAGTCCCTCTGCAGACTGCAGTACCTTTCCCCTGTTGTTTCTCCCTTATAGTCTCAGTAAGAGACTAAGAGTAGTGTTAAAGAATCCAAGCCTGAATTTCCTATACAGTATAATATTCTTAATTGAATAATTTTAAGAGATAATGTTATCCATAAATCAAATTGAATGATTTAGTGATGATATCTTTATGTTCATGAGATGACAATGAATTATGTGGCTGTTTATAATTAGGTTGTTTGTTGTTGATTATTGTTTATGTTTAGTAAAAAAAAAAAAAAAAAAAAACTGCACAAAATATAAAAAAAAAAAAAAAAAAAAACCTATCCTTTTGCTGTATTAAATAAATTATAAGTTATATGGTTTGTGGTCCCTTATGTTTGTTTGTGGTTTGTGGTCCCTTGATGTTTGTTTGTGGTTTGTAGTGCCTTGATGTTTTCTTTATTGCTTCTCTAATGTTTGTAAGGTCATCACATGTTTATTGTTAAACAAATTACCAACCAATTTCAAATATTTTTTCTTGTTTTAGGAAGATCCTTGTCTATTCTTGAAAAGAAAATGAGCACTGAAACAATCCACAGCTGTGAGAATACTTGATACATATATCAGAACATTGGCACAAATAAATACAAACATGATCCAGGGAACACAAAGCACATAAATGGTAAAACAAAGCACAAAAATGGCAAAAGTCTATTGACTTGCATTAAATAAAATACATAAGATTTTTTCAAAACCTCAATGCTCTCTTTTGCCTTCTCCTTGAACTCAATGCAAATGTGCAATTGAAAGTTATATCAAAAGATGCAACAATGATAACAGGTTTATGTTACAAAAACTTATTATCAACATAAACAACAAAAACTTACTACAAAAGCTTACTAAAGCTTATTATTAACATAAACAACTAATTATTTCTAGAACTTATTACAAAAACTTATTATCAATTACAAAAACTTAAAAGATGCACATTTAAGATTTTTAATCAAGCACAATGAAAAAAAAGGACAAAAAAATATCAGTTCTTTGTTGACAATATAAAAAACTTTTCAAACTTTATAAATATAAACAACTAATTATTTATTGTTTGTAAAGATTAACTTGAGAAATCATTGTTTATGTATCTTTTCTTTCATCCTCATTAAATTATTTGACTAAATCAAATTTTGTAAAAAGAGTTGACTTCTTTTTTTCTATAAATATGCATGATTCATGTTAAATGAGTCTAAAAGGAATTCAAACCCACAAAATATCATATTCTTATTGTCTTTCCATTACTATGTATATAAATCACTATGGGTTACTATGTATGTCTTATTGTCTTTCCGTTACTATGTATGTAAATCACTATAGATCATTATTCTTGTACAATTTCTTATTGTTTTATTTGTTTAAAACTTCTTATTAGATATGCAATATGGCTAAATTTCTCAAAAGAAAATCAACAATAGACCAATCATCCTCATCAGTCCAAGAAAGTAAAGCCAATGATAAAGAAAATGATCCATTAAAAGAAAGTCATGTAAAACTAGAAACCATCTTGAAAGATCTTCCATCTGATCTAGCTCTACGGCCTAAAATCAATCATTATCATCCTAATTATAGGGATGCAATTCGAAGATTTTACTTGCAAAAGAGTTGTTGCCAGCCTCGAAATCATGTATTTCCACTGACAAAATTTGGAAAAGGATATTGCCGATTTAATCCTACTTGGTTTGATGTGTATGGCGATTGGCTTGAGTATAGTGTGATCAAAGATGTTGCATTTCGTTTGTATTGTTATCTTTTTAGACCTGCCATTATAAGCCAAGCTGGTAGTGACGCTTTCGTTAGTCAGGGATTTTGTAATTGGAAGAAACCAGAATGCTTTTAAATTCATGTTGGCCAGCCAAATAGTGCTCATAACCAAGCACGACAGAGTTGTGTGAATTTAATGAATCAAAAGCAACATATCGAAGTGGCTCTATCTAAGCAATCAGATCAAGTTAGGATTGAATATCGAACTCGCTTGATTGCATCTATTGTTTGCATTAGATTTCTTTTGCGTTAGGGGTTGGCATTTCGTGGCCTTGTTGAAACTGAAGACTCAAAGAACCAAGGTAACTTTCTCGGGCTTCTTCATTTTCTAGCTTAGCATAATGAACATTTTAAGAGTGTTGTTTTGAAGAATGCACCTGGGAATCTTAAATTGATAGTACCAGTGATTCAAAAAGATATTGTGAATACTGCGGCAAATGAAATCACAAAAGCTATCATTAGTGATCTTGGAGATGACATATTTTCAGTTTTGATTGATGAGTCTCGTGATGTGTCAATTAAAGAACAAATGGCTATTGTCATACGTTATGTAGATAAAAAGGGTCATGTACTTGAGCGCTTTCTTGACATTGTACATGTTAGTGACACAACTGCAGTATCACTTAAGATGGCTCTTGAGTCATTATTTTGTAAGTATGGATTGAGTTTGTCAAGATTACGTGGACAAGTTTATGAGGGGCAAGTAATATGCAAGGAGAATTTAATGGTCTGAAAAGTTTGATTTTGAGGGAGAATGAATATGCTTATCATGTTCATTGTTTTGCTCACCAACTTTAGTTAACACTAGTAGCCATTGCAAAAAAAATCACATTTCTGTTGCTTCGTTTTTCAGCTTGATTACTAATTTGATAAATGTTATTGGAGGTTCATGCAAGCGTGGAGATATGCTTCGGGAGAGCCAAGTTAATAAACATGTTGAAGTGCTAGAAATTGGTGAAGTTAGCAAGGGACAAAGTTTGAATCAAGAGACAAAGTCTAAAACGAGTTGGTGATACATGTTGGGGCTCGTATTATTATACATTGATCAACTTAATCATTTTGTTATCCTCTATGGGCGATGTGCTTGAGGTTATTGAAGAAGATGATTTAAATCCTGAACAAAGGGGTGAAGCATGTAATCTATTAGATTTAATTTATTCCTTTGATTTTGCATTTAACTTACATATGATGAAAATTATATTGGCAATTACTAATGAGTTGTCACAAGCATTGCAGAGAAAAGATCAAGACATTGTAAATGCTGTGGCCCTAGTCAAAGTTTCCAAACAACGGTTACAATTGTTGAGAGATGAAGGATGAGAATCTTTGTCGAGTGAAGTTTCTTCATTTTGCCAAAAGCATGATATTGCCATTTTGAATATGGATGATATGTTTGCAATTCAAGGGCAGCCACAATGGAGAGTTGAGCACATGACAAATTTGCATCACTATCGAGTTGAATTGTTTTATACTGTGATAGATATGCAACTTCAAGAACTTAACACTCGTTTCACTAAGGTTAGTACTGAGCTGCTTCTTTGTATGGAATGTTTAGATCCAAGTAATTCATTCTCTACTTTTGACAAGCATAAGTTGATCCGTTTTGCCCAATTTTATCCATTTGAGTTGATGGTACTTGAGAACCAGGCTGAGACTTATTGTTAGAGGACAAAGAACAGAGGAGAAAAGAACCTGTTGTATAACTTCATTATCAGTCACACTTTACAAGTGAAGGATCGAAGTCCTTTTAATCAAGCAATACAACTAACTACAGTAACTAACTATGATTAAAGACAACTAATTAACTATAGTCAATGTAACTGCTCTAGCTTACTGTAACAAACTAAAATATAAACAAACTAAACTAAGTTAACTGTAACTGTAACTGCAATCTGTTACTGTAACTATTATTCTCCAATACCCCCCCCTCAAGTTGGTGAGTGATAGAGATCTCGAACTCCCAACTTGCGCAACAGATGATGATGAGTTTTACTGCTAAGTGCTTTCGTCAACAAATCAGCTGGTTGTTCACTTGTATGAACATATGCAGTTTTGATTAAACCATCCTTGAGTTTCTCTCGAACCAAATGACAATAAATGTCAATATGTTTAGTGCGCTCATGGAACATTGGATTGGAGGCAATATATTTAGCTAATTGATTGTCACAATATAAGGTAACATGAGCCAAATCAGGGAAACCAAGATCAGAGAACAGTTGAACAAGCCAAATTATTTCACAAACAGTGGAGGCCATAGCCCTATATTCTGCCTCAAAAGATGACTTGGAGACTATAACTTGCCGTTTTGATTTCCAGGACAGAAGAGAATTTCCCAGAAAAACACAATAACTAGTAACAGATTTTTTGGTCATGAGACAGGAGGCCCAATCTGAATCACTATATGCTTGTAACTGCAAAGAGTTATTTGATGGAAAAAAATAATCCTAAACCTAGAGCAGATTTCACATATTTGACAATTTTCAATGCAGCATTCATGTGTGATTGTTTGGGATTATGCATGAATTGACTTAGAAGATTCACAGAATAACTCAAATCTAGTCTGGTCATGCAAAGATACAGAAGTTTCCCTATAAGTTTTTGGAAAACAATTGGGTTAGGCAAGGGACGATCATCAGCAATGTGAAATCATTGATCATAAGTCTGAGAAGTAAGCTTGAGATGCTGATCCAAAGGAATTACAACAGGTTTCGAAGCTGATAAACCTGTTTCAGAGATCAATTCAAGAGCATATTTCCTTTGAGAAATATTAATACCTTTATCAGACCTGGCCACTTCAATGCCCAGAAAATACCTCAATAATCCCAAGTCTTTAATCTTAAAATGTGAGTGAAGTAATTGCTTGGTGTGATTAATTAAATCTAGATGACTGCCTGTTAAGACTATATCATCCACATATACAAGTGACATCGCCACTTAAGAGCCATTTCTCTTAATGAAAAGAGAGTATCTGACTTGGACTGATGAAAACCTCCAGAGAGAAGTGCTGAGGTGAGTTTAGAATTCCAGGCTCTAGAAGCCTGTTTTAACCCATATAGAGATTTATGGAGTTTACACACCAAATTTTGTCCAGGCTGTTTGACAAACCCTTGTGGCAGATTCATATAAATCTCTTCATGCAAATCTCCTTGTAAAAATGCATTGTCTAATCCATATGGTAGACATGCCAATTATTCATGGAAGCTAGAGTTAAAATGGTCCTAACAGTAACCATTTTGACAACTGGTGAGAAAGTTTCTGCATAGTCTATACCAGCCTGTTGAGTATACCCTTTGGCAACTAAACATGCCTTGTATCTTTCTAAGGAACCATCAGCTCTATACTTCAATTTATACACCCATTTACAGCCTATAAGAATCTTACCTGGAGGTAAAGTGATCAAGGACCATGTAGCATTATTTTCTAAGGCTTGAATCTCCTTTTTCATGGCTTTAACCCAATGTGGATCTTTAGAGGCTTGGTGAAAGTTAACAGGTTCAGTAAGAGAAGAAATTTTGGAGAGGCAAGCTTGGTATTTAGGTGGGAGATGATTATAGGATAAAAAATTAGAGATAGGATATTTAACAACAGTGGCTACTGGTTTTTGTGAAATGGTAGGACATAAAAAATCAGATGTCCAGATTGGAGGCTTAGAGGCTCTAATAGATTTTCTAAGGGGTCCAGAAGGTAGGTTAGAAGGTGATGAAGATGCAGTAACAGGTTGTTCAAGTGATGGTGAAGCAATACCTGGTTTTGTAATTTGAATAGTTTGTATTTCTCTATTTTGAGTGTAAGGAGATGCAGAGAATGTAGGATCAGAAAGTGGTTCTAAATCCATAAAAGATTCAGATGAAAACATGTTTTGAGAGGATTTAGGCCAGGTAAATGGAAATATATGTTCATAAAAGATAACATCCCTTATAACCTGAACAATATGTGATTGCAAATCATACAATAAATACCCTTTTTTTGTTAAAGAATAACCTATAAAAACACAGGGTGTAGATCTAGGAGAAAACTTGTCTTTTGAAGAGAGAATAGTAGAATAAGCCAAAGAGCCAAAAACTCTAAGATGACCTAATGTAGGTGCTCTGCCAAAGAATTTTTCATTGGGAGAAATACCTTGAAGGACTGCAGTTGGAAACCTATTGATTAGGTAAACAACAGCCTGTATACAATATCCCCAGAAATTGTGTGGAATATTAGATTGAAACTTTAAGGCTCTTGCTACTTCTAAGATATGTCTATGCTTTCTCTCAACAATACCATTCTGTTGAGGAGAATATGCATAGGAGCTTTGATGAATAATGCCCTAACTAGTGAGTAAATCATGAAAGTTTTTATTAAAAAACTCTAACTCATTGTCTGTTCTAATGCATTTGGGAGTGATATGAAACTGATTATGAACCATTAACAAGAATTGTTTAATGATTTGAAATGCATCTGATTTGAATTGCATGAGAAATAACCCAAGTAATCCTAGAAAAGTCGGCTACAATGGTAAGAAAAAATCTAGCATTGCCATGAGTTGATATCTTATATGGGCCCCAAACATCAATATGCAAAATGTCAAAAATATGATCAGTGGTAGAATTACTGAAGGGAAATGGAACTCTAGTTTGTTTGGCTAATGGACAAACTTTACAATGAGGTGGATTTAAAATAGGTAGGTTTTTGACCATGATTTTCAACACTGAATTAGGTACAAGTCCCAACCTTTGATGCCAAATTTCAAGATTACTAAATGATGAACAAGATGCAGAAGGAAACCCCGACTTTTTATTCAACTTGGAAACAGAGTTTACAACTGGATTGAAACAAGCTTTATTACAAACTGTACTAGTTATCATATCAAGATATGATACATTGGAATTTGTTTTCAAAAAAGGTACAAAGTAATAAAGGCCCTGGCTTTTTCTACCAATCCCTTTCAACTTGCCACTCCAAAGATCCTGGATTAAGCAAAAATCAGGATACAAAGTGATGGAGCAAGTGTTGGAAGAAGTGAATTTTGACACTGAAAGTAGATTATATTTAAAATCTAGCAAATGTAAAACATTTTGTAGATGAATACTATTATCCAATTTGACAAAACCAGTATGCTTAATGGAGGTTTTGGTGCCATTAGGAAGTCCTACAGATGAATTAATGGGTGAATTCATAATAAAAGGAGATTCTAAACTAGAAAATTTACTAGTCATATGATCAGTAGCACCTGAATCTATGATCCAATCATCAATTTCATCATGGCATGAGAATAAGGAAGAGATGTTACCTGCCAGATTAGCTGTTGGTGTTACATTCTCCTTCCCCAACAGTTGCAGAAGCTGAGCATATTGTTCTATTGATAAGACTGTTCCCAGAGATGCATTCGGAGTTGAAGTTTCTAATGACAAATTGGTGAGCTGAGACTGTGCCTGATTGGCTGAGACTTTGTTCTTTACATTGTTCTTCCCCTTAAAATCAGCAGGGTAACCATGCAGTTTGTAACAAGTCTCTCTTCTATGCCCAAGCAAATGACAATGTTCACACTCAAAATATGGCCTTTTCCTTTTATATTTGGAACTTTGATTCTGAGTTCTTTGAGAATTTTGTGCATAAAGGGTTGTAGTAACCTTTGTATTGGTGTTGATTCCAGATAATACCTTTTGACTCTCATCCTGATTCACCACTGAATAGGCTTGTTTTACAAAAGGTAATGGAGACATCAAGAGAATTTGACTACGCACCATCGAGTACGAATCATTTAGTCCTCTTAGAAATTACAATAACTTCTGTTGATTTAGATGATTAAGATAAGCCTTAGCAGATGCACTATCTGGAGGTGGTAAGCTAACCAGAGAATTCAGCTCATCCCATAGCGATTTTAGTTTATTGTAATAAATCGCTACTGTAGATGTTCCTTGAGTGAGATTAGCTATCTCCTAGTCAATCCCATATACTCTTGTTCCATTCACCTTATGATATTGTTCTTGTAAATCTTTCCATACCTGATAAGCACTGGTTGAGTAGACGATTCCATTGAAAATCTCCTTTGATACCGTGTTGAAAATCCAAGCTAATACCAAGGAATTACTCCTCTCCCATTGAGCATTCAAAGTAGAATCAGATGAAGGCTTTTCACATGTTCCATCAACAAACCCTAACTTGTTCTTTGCTCGCAAAGAAACAGTCATCGCTCGGCTCCATATACCATAATTTTCTGTGCCAATTAGTTGTTCTGTTACTAATAGAGAACCAAGCGTATCTGATGGATGAATATAGAGAGGTGAATTGGAATCAATTGCACTCAGTACTGGCTCACGGTTTGAACTTCCCATTTTAAAGATCAGCTCACAAATTGACGATTTCAAGCTAAAAAGAAAAGAAAACTTTGAAGATAGATTTCAGATGAACTGATAACGAAGCTCGAAAGCTTTAATTGATCAAGAAAAGAAAACTGGAAGCTATCGCTCTGATACCATGTTAGAGGACAAAGAACAGAGGAGAAAAGAAATTGCTGTATTACTTCATTATCAGTCACACTTTACAAGTGAAGGATCGAATTCCTTTTAATCAAACAATACAACTAACTGCAGTAACTAACTATGATTAAAGACAACTAATTAACTATAGTTAATGTAACTGCTCTAGCTTACTGTAACAAACTAAAATATAAACAAACTAAACTAAGTTAACTGTAACTGTAACTGTAACTGCAATATGTTAGTGTAACTATTATTCTCCAATACTTATGTTATTGACATGCGTTCTTGTGATGAATTTGCTAAGTTGCAAGGAATTGGTGATTTGGCTAAGAATTTAGTTTGGTTTAAAGAAGACATTTTGCATCCATTGGTGTATAAACTTGTGAAACTTGCATTGGTTTTACCAGTTGCGACTGCGACTGTTGAAAGGGCTTTTTCTATAATGAATCTTGTGAAAAGTCGGTTACGCAATCGAATGGGAGATTAATGGATGAATGATTGTTTGGTCACATATATTGAGAAAGATGTATTGGATACAATTGACGATGAAATGATTATCCAACGTTTTCAGAATATGAAAACTCATCGAGGACAATTGTAGAAAAATTGTGTTTTTTGAAGATATGTATTTGTATTTTGTAACTTTTTGTTGAAGCTCATCCTAATAAAAAAAAAATATATATGGTTATGATTGGTTTAAATTTATTTATTTTTTTTTTTTTGTTTATTTTTTGCCCCCATCGAGTAAAATTCTTGGATCCCCACTGCAGTGTCGAATCCAATTAATGACTTGTGGGGACTAGAGTCCCCACTCAACTTTTGAAAAAAGTCCATATCTTATATTTATTTAAATTTTACACTTATAGAATTATGAGATTTTGGGAACAGCCCCCATGGGTAGTTTGGATTTTATTTTTGTAAAACACTATTTTTAATCCTAATATATATATTTCATATTTTTTGTGATTTTTATTTTTATGCAAGAGGATCTGTTAGTTTTTAAAAGTTTTATTAGGAGTGAAAATGAAAGGAATAAGCATTGTTGGGTTTGCATTTAACTGAGGAGAGAAATCTGGGCATGTTTACATCAAAAAGCTAATGTGGCGAGATCATGGTGAGAATAAGAGAATCTTGAGACAGTTTCATAATTCAAAGAAGTTGTTTTATATATAAACTAGGTTGTGCGCCAAAAATGAAGAAGAAGAGAGAAAAACCCATAAAGAAGAAAGGAAGAAGAAGCAAAGGAAAAGGAAATAGGTTTGGTCAATTTTATCCGTTTGATTTTTCTGCACTTGAGTTGATGGTACTTGAGAACCAGATTGAGATTTATGTTATTGACATACGTTCTTGTGATAAATTTATTGAGTTACAAGGAATTGGTGATTTGGTTAAGAATTTAGTTCAGTTTAAAGAAGGAATTTTGCATAAGTTGGTGTATAAGTTTGTGAAAGTTGCATTGGTTTTATCAGTTGCGACTGCGACTGTTGAAAGAGTTTTTTCTACAATGAATTTTGTAAAAAATCAGTTATGCAATCGAATGAGAGATCAATAGATGAATGATTGCTTGATCATTTATATTGAGAAATATGTATTTGATATAATTAACAATGAGATGATTATCTAACGTTGTCAAAATGAGAAAACTAGTCAAAGACAATTGTAGAAAAATTATTCTATTTTTACAAAAATTATGTTTTTTGAAGATATTTATTTTTATTTTATAACTTTTCATTTAAGCTTATTGTAATGAAAAAAAAAAAATTAATGTAGTTAGATTTGTTTTTATTTATTTATTTATTGTTTTGGTTTATATTTTACCCTCATTGAAGGAAATCCTAAATCCGTCACTGCCCCACTGGCTGTGCCGTTTATCTGATTTCTGCCATGGAATCTGTAAATTTTATTATTGTGCATGAAAAACAGAAAAGAAAGGACAAGCAGAATTTTAAATGTGATAAGAGAGTTGTATTTATAGCACGTGCAGTGGCCTACCATTGCCATCAGTTTCAGCTCAGTTGCAGGGGTCCATTGCAACTTATTGAGGGGCAGAAACTTGAGAATAATTAATCTACTGGGGACGACAGTTCTGGATTGCGTGTCACTACTCACTAACTCTCGTCTTGATGCAAAAAATCTTCAAATTTAGTCATTATATACATTTTTTTTTTTTTTTTAAAAAAAAATGAACTCCTCTTCACATTCCCTAACATTTGGTAACATAGAATCGACATTTTTCATTGTTAAAAGATTATAGAAGGAAAAATATAAGTAACTTTTCATGTTTAAGGGCACTTTTGCAGCTGCAGTTGAGATGGACTTGTTGTATCACTTGCAATTTGAAGGTTAGCCTACAATCAATTCTGGCCACAACTTTCCTCGTTCTGCTTAAAAGAGAAAAAAAGTCAACGCAATCTATGAATTACGGAGCAGAACTTGGAGTGGAGTGGAGAGGAGAGATACAATTCCATGACAAACTCTTCGAGTCTTCATTATTCTTCACTCTTTATAAAATACTTCATTGGCGTTGTGCATAGATTTTGATTCTCTGTTATGTGACAAGCAATTTTGGTGATGGTAAGATTTGGTCAAGTTAGGCATGAATCAAACTTTTAAGTGTGAGGTTCGAGCTCTGTTAACCATACCCTGAATTAAACGGACATCCAGGAACGAAACAATCACTGCCCATCCCTTTTCACTGTAGCCATCCAGTAACATACTCTATCATGGAGACATCCTAAAAGCAGCACACCATGTTCAAGGTTCAAATGTAAAGGCCTAATAATGCTGCTATTCAAATGAAGCTTCCGCTTTGGAAAATAACAGTCATTGTCCAATCATCTTCTTGATCTTTACTAAGTTAAAATTTATATGTGATATACTGTATTTATAACAAAATGGAGAAGAAAAAAGAGAGAATGATGGATATACATTACTACGTTGGAAAAGAAAAAATTAACTCACAACTTAACAATGCAGGTTACAGAATCGGCATGTTCTCGTTCTCTTCAAAAGACTATTCCTAAGTTACAATTCTTTTCTCTATCCTAGGTCACACAAAAGACAACATAATCACCTTCCATAACCCAAATGCAAAACAAGCTGAGAACCTTTCCACCTTCTGAGCTACACTTAACTATTTGCACCTTTAAGGCGTGCAATCAGCTCATCCTGCACATGGTTCCATGCATTAGCAAGGCAGATGCAAAAGAAAATATTAGTGTTTGACAGTTGATATTTAATTTAGCACACCACTCAATATACTTCATCAACCAACCAAACAAAAAATGGTTCCCTTTTACCTTGAACACATACAATCTACAGTTCATACATACCCATTTTTGGACAAATTAATGATAATAACCGAACAGGCTTGACCTGATAAGAAAGACACTGGGACTAGTTTAAGATAAAATTATCTGATACCTTCTTTCCCTTGGGTGAAAGACCTCTTTCCTTGAGAAGTGCCCGAAGCCTCTCTACAGTCAAACTGTGGTAGTCCTTCTCAGCTGTACGACTGTTCGATCCATCTGCATGTTCAAAATCCATCAGATAATTAATAACATGTGTACAGATAAATATAGTGGGTAAAGCTAAAGCATATTAAGTTTTATCATAATATTTCAACAGCTCTATTTATACTACATAGCAACCAATATTCAAGTCCATTTAAAACGGGGCAACAAAAAATAGGAGCTAAAAAATCTGTAACCAGAACTCAAAATTAATTATAAACTTTCAAAGACTTGTCTCTCAATTTACTATAATTTTAGCTAGTGACTGCCATTTCCTGAAATACTCCACTTTACAGTGAGGAACAATCGCATTATGTTCTGTGCAAAGTGCAATGGGCAGTGTTATTTCTACTTCAATCCAAAAGCATCCTCAAAAACTAAAAACAAGTGATCAACCAATCCCAAGGACCAATCAATAAAACATAGAAAACTATTTACAGTTAAATCAAAATTGCATCCAAATTATATAGGCATCTCAGAGACAACAATATTGATTATTAACCATCTTAAAACTCCTGAAGTCCATCAAGCATGTAATTAACCATCATCAACCATTACAAAAGCAGCTCCCTTGCAATTCTCTCGATCAATATTAAGTATGAGATAAAGGCAAAAGACCAACTGAACCCAGAAAAGACTGGGCCAGAGGAAAATTTTAGTAGAGAAAAAAATTCTGCCATTAACCAAAACTTTTTTTCCAGAAATGTTAACAACGTCAAACACACAAACAACAGCAACAGGAACTCCAAAAGTTACCTTGACGAGAGCAAGCTTGCATGTTGGCTCTCTTTGCTGGATTCCTACTATCCAAAACTCTTTCAGCAGCCCTGAAAATTTGAAGAATGCAGGTATTAGAGAATCCACAAGTAACTAGGACTGGGTCACCAAAGATGTTTACAAGAAGAGAATTCACAAGAGTACATTTACATGATTTGCTACAAACAGCAGGTCTATTAATGAGTGCAAACAAAATTTACAACAATTAGCCGAAACACACCAGAACAAAAACCACAAAGACATGTCAAACCTAATTCTTTCAAGAAAAAGAGATACCCTACCTCTTTTTATCAGCTCCAGCTACACCTTTCACATCCTTTGAACTGGCATCACCCTTTGGTTTCTTAAGAGTGAGTGACCTAATCAATATGTTTTGTTGGTTTGTTTTTACCAGTTGGTCCGCTGCTTGGACCAATTACAATACAAGATTAATGCTCTGCATGCTATCAAAAGAATTGGAAAATTTATACAATGTTTAAAAGAAAAGAATACCTGGGGGTGATGTGTCATGCTCACAAACATAAACTCGCATACTACCCTGCACAAATTTTAAATATTTATATTTAAGTTCCATGTCACTGAAAATGCTCCCGGAACAGGGATCTGGAATCTGATAGGTAGTTAAACAAACTAAAGCAACATGAAACCACAAAAGCTCTAAACCCAATGATCAGTCAACCAGCTATAGCAAGAAAAGTTATTAAACTAAGGAATTAGAAATAGTAAACTTCTAATAATGCAAATCATATGAAGAGATTCACTATCAATCAGGCATATTACAAAGAAAAAAAATCCCTTCTCACAATTCAAAAACTGGAGAAAATTAGTCGTGAAGGAGCAGAACAGGCCAGCGATCACTATCTAACCAGCTATGCCCACTTCTCAACAACAACAACATACCAAAAAGGCTATAAGGGAGTGGGAGAATGATAAAATTAGCCATAATAGTATCCTTACACAAAAGATACACAGAGAAACACAAGTGACTGTAACGATCAAACATTGTCATTGTTATGGTAAATTTGTGCACCAAGTTGAGCTAGTTGAAAGGCTGCCACATTCCCAAAATCAAGGCCTCTTGTTGAGGTAACCCTCACTCAATATAAAGGAGTTAGTGATTTTCTAAGAAAAACCTCATCACCCATGGCACAAAAAAGGATTGGGATCAACATGAAGAGATGACTAAGGCTCATCATCTAAGAGCAAGAAGGACTTATTTCCGGAAGGAATTCATCCTTATCACCCATTTGGTCATCGCCTAAAGCAAACCTTCCTTATCACCCAAAAAAGCCGATCTTACGACATCTATAACACCACAATAACATGCACTACCTCAAGACAACTCACATTGGAACCACAGAGCCTCAATCTATATAAATAGCGCCTCAATGTTTGAGTCAAATCATCACCATTCACCTACTTCTTTCTATCTAAGTAAATATTTTGAGATCTTCTGTCACTAGATTTTCTGGTACAGCTTTCTAGCTGGCACTCGCACAAAGCCACACACCAACAGGTATCCATGTTAGATTTAAAAATCTATAGTCTCTGATAACTCTACTTCACATTAAACCACCCATACGCTCAAGCAAAATCAATCTTCGTATTTGCAAGACAACATAACTATTGCATAGCATAAAAAAATATGAACAACTAACATTAATAAACATAACACATACATACAAACAAACTGAAAACCAAAAGATAAGAATTTAGATTCAATTTACAACCACCATAATCTATGAACCTGTAGTAAATCAACTAACAGAAAATTTACAAACATACAAGCAAGTACAAGTGCTTTTGTATACATCAAATCGCAAACCTAAACCTAAATTTTGGCTTCCAAGAAATCGATTCAAAATTTTTTTTTCTTGTTACTATCTACTCATCTACACAATTTATTTTCCAATGACTCAATTTTATTGAAAGAACACTTAAACTAGACCCAACACTTGTTTTCTGCTCTGTTAAGTATAAACTTCAACATTGTAAACTCAATCTAACTTTTCTTTTCGCACATTTTCTCAGCAACAAAAAAAGAAAAAATAAGAAAATTAAGGGACAAAAGTGAGGATTAATAAATGAATTAAAGTAAAGAGAAGAAGAGATCACCGGATTTGAAGAGATGACGGTGGAGGAGAAGAGGCCACGAGAAGGAAGATTAGCAAGAAAACCAGATGCACGAGAGGCCGTTTGATTTGAATCAGACGGATGCGACGAGGAGCCCTCCATGGCGCCTGAAAAACTCTCGCGAAGTATAGAAGTGTGAAGAGTGACAATGAGTCAATTTGGTTTTTGTTTTGTCGACTATTTTTGGCTTCGCTAAATATTTGGGAGCGGGACTAGTCAGAAATTCAGAATACTACATTTTGCGAGGGATCAGGATTTTTTTCTCAATCTTATTTGCTTAATTAACTTTTTTATTTTAAATTTTGATACAAAGAGGGCGTACAACATGTTCCCACCAAAAGTTTGCCCTAACGAAATTTACTATTAGAAAGTTTCAAAATGATAATTACCCACTTTCTGTTAATAACTGTTAGTAAATTATATTAATTGATATTGATAGTAATTGTAAAAACAAAAATACCCTCTTGGAATCCAAATCCAGAACGATCGGAATCGCATCACACACCAACCTAACACGTTGCCCCCACTAGCCACCACCCACACAGCCTACCCACCTAGAAGGAGGCCACTATTCTCACCCAACCTACAACACTCGACAACTAACCCCAGTGGCGGATCCAGGAATTTCACTCGATGGGGGCAAAAAATAATTAAAAAAAAATAAAAATTTAACGAATCATAACCATACTTTCTTTTTTCATTAGGATGAGCTTCAACAAAAAGTTACAAAATACAAATACATATCTTCAAAAACACCATTTTTCTACAATTGTCCTCAACAAGTTTTCATATTCTGAAAACATTGGATAATCATCTCATCGTCAATTGTATCAAATACATCTTTCTCAATATATGTGACCAAATAATCATTCATCCATTGATCTCTCATTCGATTACGTAACCGACTTTTCACAAGATTCATTGCAGAAAAAACCCTTTCAACGGTCGCAATCGCAACTAGTAAAACCAATGCAAGCTTCACAAGCTTATACACCAACGGATACAAAATTTCTTTTTTAAACCAAACTAAATTCTTAGCCAAATCATCAATTCTTTGTAACTTAGCAAATTCATCACAAGAACGCATGTCAATAACATAAGTCTCAGCCTGGTTCTCAAGTATCATCAACTCAAATGCAGAAAAATCAGATGGATAAAACTGGACAAAACCGATCAACTTATGCTTGTCAAAAGCAGAGAATGAATTACTTGGATCTAAACATGTCATACAAAGAAGCAGCTCAGTACTAACCTCAGTGAAACGAGTGTTAAGTTCTTGAAGTTGCATATCTATCACAGTATAAAACAATTCAACTCGATAGTGATGCAAATTTGTCATGTGCTCAACTCTTCGTCGTGGCCACCCTCGAATTGCAAACATATCATCCATATTCAAAATGGCAATACCATGCTTTTGGCAAAATGAAGAAACTTCACTCAACAAAGATTCTCATCCTTCATCTCTCAACAATTGTAACCGTTGTTTGCAAACTTTGACTAGGGCCATAGCATTTACTATGTCTTGATCTTTTCTCTGCAACGCTTGTGACAACTCATTAGTGATTGCCAACATACTTTTCACCATATGTAAGTTAAATGCAAAATCAAAGGATTAGATTACATCTAATAGATTACATGTTTCACCACTTTGTTCAGGATTTAAACCATCTTCTTCAATAACCTCAAGCACATCACCCACAGAGGATAACAAAAGGATTAAGTTGATCAATGTATAATAATATGAGCCCCAACGTGTATCACCAGCTCGTTTTAGACTTGTCTTTTGATTCAAACTTCGTCCCTTGCTAACTTCACCAATTTCTAGCACTTCAACAAGTTTATTAACTTGACTCTTTCGAAGCATGTCTCGACGCTTGCATGAACCTCCAACAACATTTATCAAATTAGTAACCAAGCTAAAAAACGAAGCAATAGAAATGTGATTTTTTGCAACGGCTACTAATGTCAACTGAAGTTGGTGAGCAAAACAGTTAACATAATAAGCATATTCATTCTCCCTCAAAATCAAACTTTTCAGACCATTAAATTCTCCTTTCATATTACTTGCTCCTCATAACCTTGTCCACATAATCTTGACAAACTCAATCCATGCTTACAAAATAATGACTCAAGAGCCATCTTAAGTGATACTACAGTTGTGTCACTAACATGTACAATGCCAAGAAATCGCTCAAGTACATGACCTTTTTTATCTACATAACGTATGGCAATAGCCATTTGTTTTTTAATTGACACATCACGAGACTCATCAATCAAAACTGAAAATATGTCATCTCCAAGATCACTAATGATAGCTTTTGTGGTTTCATTTGCCGCAGTATTCACAATATCTTTCTAAATCACTGGTGCCATCAATTTAAGATTCCCAGGTGCATTCTTCAAAACAACACTCTTAAAATGTTCATTATGCTAAGCTAGAAAATGAAGAAGTTCGAGAAAGTTACCTTGGTTCTTCGAGTCTTCAGTTTCAGCATGACCACGAAATGCCAACCCTTGACGCAAAAGAAATCTAATGCAAACAATGGATGCAGTCAAGCGAGTTCAGTATTCAATCCTAACTTGATCTGATTGCTTAGATAGAGCCACTTCGATATGTTGCTTTTGATTCATTAAATTCACACAACTCTGTCGTGCTTGGTTATGAGCACTATTTGGCTGGCCAACATGAATTTGAAAGCGTTCTGGTTTCTTCTAATTACAAAATCCCTCACTAACGAAAGCGTCACTACCAACTTGGCTTATAATGGCAGGTCTAAAAAGATAACAATACAAACAGAATGCAACATCTTTTGTCACACTATACTCAAGCCAATCGTCATACACATCAAACCAAGCAGGATTAAATCAACGATATCTTTTTCCAAATTTTGTCAGTGGAAATGCATGATTTCGAGGCTGGCAACAACTTTTTTGCAAGTAAAATCTTCAAATTGCATCCCTATAATTAGGATGATAATTATTGATTTTAGGTCGTAGAGTTGGATCAGATGGAAGATCTTTCAAGATGACTTCTAGTTCTACATGACTTTCTTTTAATGGATCATTTTCTTTATCATTGGCTTTACTTTCTTGGACTGATGAGGATGATTGGTCTATTACTGATTTTCTTTTGAGAAATTCATCCATACTGCATACCTAATAAGAAGTTTTAAACAAATAAAACAATAAGAAATTGTACAAGAATAATAACCTATAGTGATTTACATACATAGTAATGGAAAGACAATAAGACATACATAGTAACATATAGTGATTTACATACATAGTAATGGAAAGACAATAAGAATATGATATTTTGTGGGTTTGAATTCCTTTTAGACTCATTTAACATGAATTATAGTGATTTACATCCATAGTAATGGAAAGACAATAAGAATATGATATTTTGTGGGTTTGAATTCCTTTTAGACTCATTTAACATGAATCATGCATATTTATAGAAAAAAAAAAAAAAGTCAACTCTTTTTATAAAATTTGATTTAGTCAAGTAATTTAATGAGGATGAAAGAAAAGATACATAAACAATGATTTCTCAAGCTAATCTTTACAAACAATAAATAATTAGTTGTTTATGTTTATAAAGTTTAAAAAGTTTTTGATATTGTCAACAAAAAACTAATTTTTTTCTCTCATTTTTTCATTGTGCTTGATTAAAAATCGTAAATATGCATCTTTTAAGTTTTTGTGTGTGTGTGTGTGTGTGTGTTTATGTTGATAATAAGTTTTTGTAATAAGTTCTAGAAATAATTAGTTGTTTATGTTAATAATAAGTTTTAGTAAGCTTGTGTAATAAGTTTTTGTTGTTTATGTTGATAATAAGTTTTTGTAACATAAACCTATTATCATTGTTGCATCTTTTGGTATAACTTTCAATTGCACATTTGCATTGAGTTCAAGGATAAGGCAAAAGATAGCATTGAGGTTTTGAAAAAATCTTATGTATTTTATTTAATGCAAGTCAATAGCCTTGTGCCATTTTTGTGCTTTGTGGTCGCTGGATCATGTTTGTATTTATTTGTGCCGATGTTCTGATATATGTATCAAGTATTCTCACAGTTGTGGATTGTTTCAGTGCTCATTTTCTTTTCAAGAATAGATAAAGATCTCCTTGCAACAAGAAAAAATATTTGAAACTGGTTTGTATTTTGTTTAACAATAAACATGTGATGGCCTTACAAACATTAGAGAAGCAATAAAGAAAACATCAAGGGACCATAAACCACAAACAAACATCAAGGGACCACAAACCACAAAGAAACATAAGAGACCACAAACCATATAACTTATAATTTATTTGATACAGCAAAAGGATAGGTTTTTTTTTTTCTTTTTTTCTTTTTATATTTTATGTAGTTTTTTTACTAAACATAAACAATAATCAACAACAAACAACCTAATTATAAACAGCCATATAATTCATTGTCATCTCATGAACATAAAGATATCATCAGTAAATCATTCAATATTATTTATGGTTAACATTATCTCTTAAAATTATTCAATTAAGAATATTATACTATATGGGAAATTCAGGCTTGGATTCTTTGACACTACTCTTAGTCTCTTAGTGGGACATATTGCTTCTTCGGAATATTTTACTATAAGGGAGAAACAATAGGGGAAAGGTACTGCAGTCTGCAGAGAGACTTCTGATGGTTAGTGTCAACTAATGTGGGTTGCCAATAGGTTTACAGGAACACCCTTGTCTCTCAAAATTCACGAGTAGACGTGGGGACGTTTGGGCATTGCCGCATTAGCTAAATGGTAAGGGCCCCTTCAACGACTCTGGTTGGCCATTAGGAGCAGGATTCAGGTTTAGTTATACTTCAAATCTCAAATTCTAAATATATAATACTCAATTTTATTGGAAGAATGTAATAACAAAAGTTCTAAAACTGTAAAACATCGATTGAATAGAGAAAATTAGGGATTCAAGATTAGGGACATTACCTTTTGATAAATTGATGAAAAGTAGTGTTGGTTGAGACTTGGAAGGAGAGTTCGGTGAGAGAGACTTGACAGTTTAGTCTTTAGAGGACCTGCACCCTGAGAAAAAGAGGGAAGAGAGGTTCTTGGCGTGCGTTGTTGTTCTGTTAACCTGTAAGAGTTCAAAAATCAAAATCAAAATCTGTTCTTTTCCCAAAATGTCAAAGTTCTATATGGGGCAAAATGCACATAAATATAAATATTTATAAAATCTGAAATTTTTTAAAGTTTG